TAGGTGTAAACAATCACTACATAAATTTAATAAACTAGTAATAATAAGCTACAATAAAATGCAAATAAAATAGAATATAGTTACTAACCTTATATAAAAAATTCTTTTAAATAAATAAAATAATATATTACAAAATTAAAATAACACGATACATATTGAAATGCATATACAAAATGTGACTTATAATTCAAAAGAGAGAGACAAACAAAAGAAAAGTCGGATTATTCAGGTGGTATTATTGTTTGATTGTTATTTTGTTAACTGGTGCTCACTGCTTAACTAAAGTAATAAACTAATATTAACAATAGACATGCATGGACGTCATACAAGACATGCACGAGCTTGGAATAATAACATGCATATTATGTAGAGATCTTTGTGTGACCAGTGAGGAGAAGGAAGGTTCTATTTTCTTTAAAAAAAAAAGAAATAAAATGTTAGAAAATTTCAACTTCCCAGTAAGAAGATATTATACTCGTAATGAGGCTGATTTTTCTATTTTAAATTTGGGCCTTCTCCACGTTTCAGGTTATTTCAGAATATATATCTACTATCGCATGTTATAAATGTGTGAGTGTGTATGTGCGTATGTACGTTTGTGCTTATCTTTTCTCGCTCGCAACTCTTGAGATCAAAATATAATGAAAACAACGTCGGACTGATTACATTCTTTAAAAATTATGTAATTAGATACCTGATTATGTTGAACCTGATAAAGAAATGTAAAGGAATGCCAAACCAACCGAATTTGATAATTGCGATCTGTTGATTTATGCGTATTCCTGAATACCGCCGGAGCTTTTTTTTTTTGTTTTTGCAAATTAAAAAAAAATTTAATACTTCATTTACCTATATCCATGGTTTGCTTTACTGTCATTCCCTTCTATAACGTTTGTGTTGTGGAACGCCGCAGTCATTTTTCTTTCAAACTTATGTATGCTTACGCTTATGGTTTTATACGTGATAGAGCCATGCTGCAGCTATATTAGTAGTATAGTTGTAGCACGAATGGGTCGGCTCGACCGGGGAAGGATCATGCTCTCACAGAATACCAGCGTAAAATAGCAGCCTAATGCTGATGTGTTTCGTATGGTGAGTGTAGAGAACCGGAGACCCTTTTTACTGGAAAAGAGGCATTCCAGAGAGGTTGGAACCCGTGGGGACTAAGAAGTCCTCACGGGTTGTCCTCACGGTTCCAACGTATCTGTATTTTGATTCGCAAACGAGAATAGATGTAGATGTATATGGGCCACAGCAACCACTTACCATCACGTGGACTGTGATATTTAAAAAAATGTAACTTTTCTAATTTTATAGTTCTAGCTTCTGTGATGTTAATTCTGTTAGCCTTTGCGGCTCTTACAGCTTCATCGGACTTAAGTTCACTTTTATATCTTTGGGTTGTTATTATACGTGTGGTGGCGGCTTAATTGAATACACTATTCCATATCAACCCGTGGTGTTGTCGTTATGTACGTGTTGTGTATCGTCACAAACTTTAAAAATTCGTGATACTGCAATAAGGGATAATAATCTTTCACTCACGAGATATCGCTAGCTGTGAAGGTAAAGTCTTTTGTTACACAATGTCAGTTAATTAATTAATTCGAACAAGTCCCCACGTCGAGATTCTTAGAGTCACCTACAGAAGATACCGCAATTTCTGCAATAACCTTATTAAAAAACTAAAACGTGGATATGAAATGCAGTTACTCCGGGATTCCACTGGTGACTCTAAGAAACTTTGGAATAATATTGCGTCAATCACACATCTTAGACAGAGTAAATCAGACAACACAAAGCTTACTTCGGTTTTCTACAGGATGCATTTCATACACTACACTACAATTACATAATTTAATGCCCCCCTCTCCCTTCCACCATCGGACAACCAGACGTTCGGCCAGTCTCCACCCTTTCGTTGTTGACTTACCACGCATTCGAACCAAACGGTTCGCCACGTCGTTCATCATGCGTACAGCAAAGGAGTGGAATAAGTTGCCAGCATCTGTCTTTCCATCCGATTACAGTGAGGGTGTCTTCAAGGCAAGAGTGAATAGGCTTTTGTTAAGTCAGTGTGCTTCACCATCTTAGGCTACATCACCACTTACCATCAGGTGGGATCGTAGATAAGCGCTGGCTTAGTAGAATATAAAAAAAAATATTGAAACATCCCCACAACATTCTGCTGATTTCATAAATACCTTTTTTGGTAATATAGGCAAAAATCTAGCTAATTCTATACCTCAACCCCATGGATTACCAATTGGGACCAGGACTGTGAGCGTTTCCCAAAGAAAGTCTCAATTATCCTCATTTGTGCTTCTTGATGCTGACCAGGAGGAAGTTTACTCTATCTTGATGGGACTAAAAACTTAAAGCTCTCCCGGTTATATATTGCAACCAGTTTCCTAAAACTTGCTGGAAACGAAGTTGTACCAATCTTCACACATTTATCCAAACTATGTTTTAATAAGGGAGTATTTAAAAAACACCTTAAAGAATCAATCATCACTCCAGTGTACAAGAATGGGGACGTAGATGTTAATAATTATAGACCTATCTCTGTACTGCCAGAAATATCCAAAATTATTGAAAAGCTTATCAACAAAAGACTCCTGTGTTACCTCAATTATTTTAACATCCTGTCTGAATCACAATATGGTTTCCGTAGTGGAAAAAATATAGAAGATGCGGTGACTGCATTAACTTCCCAAATTGTTGATAAACTGGATAGTAAAGCAAAATGTCTGGCAGTATTTTTGGATTTAAAAAAAGCGTTTGACACTGTCTCTATCCCCATCCTTGAACAGAAGCTGGAAGATGTGGGTATATGAGGTATTCTACTTGAGCTACTTAAGGACTACCTGGGGCGGTCGAATGAATGTGGCTTACGGTGTTCCGCAGGGCAGTGTCTTGGGCCCAACCCTTTTCCTTATCTACATTAATGACCTCTGTAACATAAAGACTGGGGACGCTAGGATCTTTTCTTATGCAGATGACACTGCTGTTGTTTTGTTATGGGTCATCTTGGACTGCAGTGAAAACTGAGGCTGAAAATGGGTTATCAGAAATTATTGAGTGACTTAGAACTAATCTGTTGACACTAAACACACAAAAGACTAATTACATGTGTTTTTCAATTTTAGACAGTAATCAACCCAGCAATGATTTAGACATTCAAATACATATCTATGATTGTGGTAGGGATAATAACTGTCGCTGTCCCTCTATATCTAATGTATCATCAACTAAATATCTTGGTATTATGCTAGACCAAAGACTTTCCTGTCAGTCGTATACTGATCTCGTCGCGACTAGAACACGTAAGCTAATGTCGATTTTTATAATGCTGAGACATGTTTCCGACAAGAAACTTATCAACCAAGTGTATATGGCATTAGCTCAACCCATATTAACTTACTCTCGTGGTTTAACGGGCTCAAAGAGCGTTACTAAAAGTGATGTATTTTAAAAATCGTAGATTTGCTACACAAGCTCTATATTCCATTGCTGCTATTCTAACAATTAGAAAACTATTTATCCTGCATACTGTAGTAAAAAACACAAGTCATTAAAATTTGATCCGAGCATATTGCATAAAAGAAGACATAATAATGTGTGTGACAGTTAAACTTACTCTTACTCAATTCGCAAGAAATCAATTTCAGTATTTGTCATCGTTATTATACTACCGCTCCAATCAAAATCAAAATCTATATCCATATATAGATTATATATATATATATATATGTGTGTATATATGTATATAATTAGTGTCAATCATAATTTACATACTTATGATAAAGATAAGTTGTATTTGTTACCTAATTCTTCATTTATACTCGTAAGTACCACAAATGTGATATGGAAGAGTGGCTCCTTCTGACACAGGTGCAAATGCACTTAAAATAATGAGTGAAGCTATGTTCTAGATTTAAGACAAACCTTGTTAAAGAAATAAACTTTTATTTTATTTTATTTTAATTGAAAAATTAGTTTTAAATAATAGTTTATCATTATCTAGAGTAATATATTAATACACAACACAATGCGTCAGTGGTTTGATTTTTAATTTTTTCACTTTATAACTCTTTTATTTTAAGTTTTCATCTTTTAGTTATATTTATAATGTGGTTATTTCAAAATTTACATTTTCCTAGGAAATTATATTCCCCGCTATGAAATATGTCAAATATTTTACCTCATTGTAAAGTGACGCCCATAGATTAATGATAGGTCATCGCGCGCTCTGAGCGCACGAAGACCTATCATTAATCTAAGGTGACGCCACCCTTGTGGCAGAAAAACTCGTGGATACCCTCATTTATGTATTATAGAGGTAGTCAAAGCGTCCTTATTGGACAGCTATGTAAAATTACAAAAGTGTAGATCTATTTGTATGAACATATTCTTCGTCTAAATACGCTGCCGTTTTGCCCCCCTTGTCTGTTCCGAAATTTACTTTTGCAGCCGTATTATTCTCACAAAAATTGAAAACATTGAGATATGATTACGGTACTCTGTGTTAGGTAATCCATACTTATTAAATGACGGAAACTAACATAGAGATTTAGATTACAACATAGCACTTTCTACCAAGGGAAAATAAACGTTGGTGTAGAAAAAATTACATGGAATCTTTTCTGTTCCTGTTGTGTTTATTATATTCTATCTTTCAAGGAAATTTCCGATACTTCCAACTCAATATCGATGAATAATTACTTCTATAGGGTTATGGATAGACAAACTAGTGATGTCCTTGGCCTAAACTTTATAACAGATAAGAACTATTAAACCAAACGTTTCAATACTATCATTAAATCATGTATTGCAAAAGATCTTCTATGTATGTCTATCTATATATTTTCTTAATTTTAATTCAGCATTTATCTGCTGTCCTACGTGTTAGTAAGTGATGACGTAGCTTAACAAAAGTGAACATTATAACTGGACGAGTGTACGCAGAAAATTAAACTATTTCTCTCCTTTTTTTACAGAAGATGTCTCCACACCGAAACCAAAGAAGGTATTAGACACAGTAATGAGTCCGGCATATATTCCCCCTGAGGAGAAACACGGCTCATACTGGAAGAAATCGGCAGCCACAACCCTGAAGTCCAAGCTCAAGGAGACGATAAACACGGACAAAGCCAAAAACGGCATCTTGTTTATAGGCGACGGGATGTCTTTAGCGACTGTGATGGCAGCCAGGACCTTCGCTGGTCAGATGGAGCGAGGTCTGGGAGAGGAGAATGTCTTGGAGTTTGAAACGTTTCCCGTTACAGGATTAGCGAGGGTAAGTAACAACATAGAATAAGGATCAACTAATAATACAAGAAGAGAATAAGAATATGGTAGAGCCATGCTACAGATATATTAGAATAGAATAGAATAGAATCATTTCATTTTTTTTCATTTTATTCAATATAGATTACAGTACATAACACTTTTTGAAAGTAATTTTTTAAAAGCTTTTATTTAACTTGCAATGTAACTATGTTTGTTCGGGTGGAATCCTGCAACTCAATTTAGAAGCAGATATCTTCAACCAGTTGAGCTGAAATTTTGTATATATGTTAAATTTGGATGACAATGCATGGTTAGCTATGTGACGTCATTCTAAATCCAACATGGCGAAACACCCAAGATAGCGGACTAGTTATTTTTAATGCATTCCTACAATATGGGTATCAAATGAAAGGACTTGCTAAGTATAACTCGAAAAAAAAAAGAGACGTCACTCTAAATTCAATATGGCGGACTTCTAAAGATGGCGGACTAAATTTTTTATGCTTTCCTACAATATGGGTATCAAATGAAAGGACTTGCTGAGAAAACGAATGCGATTCAAAAAAAATAAGACCGGGGAAGGACCACGCTTTCACAAAATACCAGCGTAAAATAACAGCTTAATGCTGCTGTGTTTCGTTTGGTGAGTGTAGCGAACCCGAAACCCTTTTTACTGGAAAAAACGTATTTCATCTTAGTCCCCGCGGCTGACGACGCATCTGCATTTTATTCGCAAACGAGGATAGATGTAGATATCTATGGGTCACAGCAACCACTTACCACCAGATGAACTGTGTGCTGCTCACTTGTCACCCTTATCCTATATAAAAAATAGAATGAATAGAATAAAACCAAGCGGTTTGTCCATCTTCCACAATGCGTACAGCAAGGGAGTGAAATAATTTCCGTCCGATTACAATCTGGACGTCTTCAAGTCTAGATTTAATAGACTTTTGTTAGGCTAATTCAGTGAGAATTACCATCTAGGGCTTCATAAACACTTTCCGCCGGGTGAAATTGTAGTTAAGTACTTATTTATAATGAGTAAAAAAGTAACACATAGATTTTCACACACAACATAAAATCTCTCGCCTGCACTCAGACATATAGACGGAGACAACGGACGTCCATTTTTCACGATTTGTGTATATATTCTATGGGCACGATCGTGACACACCTTTCTCGCTTCTTTCGCATCTATATATCTATGCAACACTCTCTTAATTTAACGCATCATCAACAAACAACAAGTTTAGTCGACAAACTTCTGTTTCTTGTTCATTAACTACTTTTACACTTGTTTCTGAAACATAAATTTACTTTATCATTCTTTCCTCTTTCTCTTTCTTTATAACTGTATTCTTTTTTTTATTCCTGGTCACAAAATCATCTTGCAAACAACACATTTTTGTCTTATCGCATAGTTTCTCACCTATTAAAGTCACACCTATAATAATTCTTCATAAAGGCTAATAACAAAAATTACATGTAAATTAATTTATTCGCTATAAATTGATATATTTCTCCACATAAAATAGGCAGCGCAATTACTTCCCCGCGCACTGTCTACCACTACCTTTCAACACAACACAACTCTAGTGAGTTTCCATTGATAAACCTAGCGCTTTCAATACATACATAGAAAATGCTTAACAATTATTTCACTAGTACAGTTCTACAATCCTTAAATACGGAGGCTGGTATGCCATCTGGTCCGACGCTTCGAGGGGAGGAAATAGGCATCGAACGTATGGCCCACTCAGTTATTCAGTGACTCTAAGCAATAAGCTATTTTGTTGTTTATATACCAAACGTAACAGTCAGTAGCATAAACCGATTCAATCGATGAAAAAAAAACTCGATTGTGTAACAAATCGAGTGAACAAAAACTATACAAACGAGATTGAAAATGGAAGCGGATGGTCGCGGCGATTACATAACTATTATTACCGAAACTCTACAGAAGTAACCAACACCGATAATCTGATAGTTGATTGACTAAACCAATGAATACATTGAAAGTGAATGATGTCTTCGTTTTTTTGTTGAAAGTGAACGTTACATAATAAAAAACAAACTTAATGCCCGAAAGCTTAGCGTGTTTTTAAAGGTAGAGTTTACAACAAACTAAGAAATGGATTATCTAATGATGTGTGACGAAAAGTTGGAGCCGGTCTGTTAGGAATGCATAGGACATTTTTGTTGTATGTTATCTATACATTATTAAGTGAATAAAAAACTTTGTATACTGGCTACCAATAGCATATATCTGGCAACAAACAGTTTTGCGTAGACAGCTGTGTTCCGAATGTATACAGAACCAGGTCGATTTTCGGTCACGGCGGCAAGTTTCAACGGAGATTAGCCATCTACACAGGAAAGGATTATAGTGCATGAGTATGCACTATAATCCTTTCCTGTGCACAGGAAAGGATTATAGTGCATACTCATGCACTATAATCCAAAAAGCACAGGTGCGCTCTCAATTCCCTCAACCTCATAGTCCGATGGGTCGGCAACCCGACGCGTCCATAGAGAGATTAGGCGCACAACCAACGGCTTTAAAATTCCGATTTCTGTAAGGAATAATTAATGCCCCGATTTTAGAAGCCATTGTGGAAATTATTGTATTCCTTTTAGTTCTTTGAATGCAGCTTTTACTTTTTATGAAATATTTCATTTTAAACCTTAGGAATATCACAAGCTCAAGGTAATTACTACTAGAATGTTATCTAATTATTTACTCTAAAAGCTTCATCTCTGTATTTCCACCCTAAAATATATATTTTTTTATAAGATAGGATGACAAACGAGCACACAGTCCACCTGATGTTAAGTGGTTGCTGACATCACATCTACATTTATCCTCGATTACGAATCAAAATGCAAATGTGTTGTCACCCGTGAGGACTAAGATAGTATGCCTCGTTTCCAGTAAAAAGGGTCTCCGGTTCTCTACACTCACCATACGAAACACAGCAACATTAAGCTGCTATTTTACGCTGGTATTCTGTGAGAGCGTGGTCCTTTCCCGGTCGAGCCGACCCATTCGTGCTACAACTATACCGCCAATATAACTGCAGCATGGCTCTACCACGTATATATTTACGACGTATATAACTTATTTATTAAAAAAATATTCAAAATCGGTTCACAATTACGAAGATATCGCGTAATATACATACATAAAAGAATACACACCGAATATAGAACCTCGTACTTTCTTTTAAATCGTCTAAAAATAAATACAACACCTGCTCGCTCTTCTATAGCAAAGACATGTTAAGTGCTTTTAAGATAAGATAGCGAAAAAAACTTATTGATTGCTCTACTCATATCTTCTGTAAATAAATTATTTGCTACTGCAAACATAAACACGCACTTAATTCAGCACCACCGAAATTAAACAATGTTATGGATAATATAAAACTGTATAAGCAATCGTTTGATACTATAAAAAGGATAGACTAACCAGAGATAATTAATGACATTACTTTTAACAGACTCCAAAAAATAGAAGAAGGATGTTTACCATGCCTATGTTTTTATAAATTTGTTCACCGATTTCTTAGAAACGGATGGCCAAATTAAAATATTAATGTTTTTTTTTTAAATAGAATATACCTTAAGATTGCTTCCAAATAAATTTAAAAAATATTCCATCACTAAGGGTAGTGAAATGAGGTTGAGGTTTATAATGTATATTTAGATAACATTCTATTTGAAACTTGCTTTCTTTCTATTTATAGAGTACGTGAGGGTAATATGGTCATCCGGTTAATATGGTCACATTCTTATAACTCAAAAACTACAGCCTAATTATCATAGATGGCTTTGTGATACGATAGCTCTTCATCAGTCATTCAAATAATAAAGGTTCAAAAGGCCGCCGCTTTATCGACGCCATTTTGACAATTGATATTATAGTAAGTACATGAGGCTAATGTGGTTACTTTAAGCTTTATCGCCCCATAAAACCAAAATCAGGAGGAGAACAGAGACAAAAACACTAAGTCGTATACTATAACTAATATATTAAGAAAGAAAATAGCAAACAAGCATTGGAAATAATTAGAAACACTTCGAAAAATCTACGTAAAAAAACGAACTACACTACACAATACAAAAATCGACTAAAATATTACAATAATATCAACTGTCAAAGTGGCGTCGATAAAGCAGCGCCTTTTTGACTCTTTATTATTTGATAGACTGATCAAGATCGTATCACATAGCGTTCTATGCAAAAGACACTGTAGTTTTTGAGTTATAAGAAAGTGACCATATTAACCGGATGACCTTATTACCCTCACTTACTATAGTTAGTTTTTTTATAAGTTGATTTTTCGAAGTGTTGCTAATTATTCCCAAGGCTTGTTTGTTATTTTTTCTATATTAGTTATAGTATACGACATTGTGTATTTGTCTCTGTCCTCCTCCTAGTTTTGGTTTTATAGGGCGGCAAAGCTTAAGATGACCATATTACCATCACGTACCTTAATCAAAGGGGCGTGCCTCAAGGCTCAATTATCGGCCTCTTTCTGTTTCTTGTATATGTTGACGAATTACATTACAAAGTAGGGGATAACCATAATATAGTATTATTTGCTGATAACAGTTTATTAATTTTCTGTTCTGTTCTGATAAGGGTAAACAAATTATCAAGGATAATAGTATATTTCATTACGAGTGCGGAAAGCCTGTCATTGCAAAGAGTTCCGAAAAACGTCTACCCGAGCCGAGGCGCAGCCGTAGGTGAGGGTTGACAGTCGGAACAAGTTGCAATGACGGTTCCGCACGTGTACTGAACAACTATTTTTAATACAGTTGCGAAAAAATTAAGCAATTTAATAAAAAAATTTTTGGGAAATGGCGCCAACCGTAAAAGAATATAAGCAGAGATTTTTTGTTTTCTTCACCCATTCTAGGTAGGCAAAGGAACTATGCCCATACAGCCAAGTCTTTAGTAGAATTTTTTTATTGATATGAAATGAAAATTAAAAATAT